AAATTCCAGTGAAATATATTTATGTTTGTGGTTGTAATGTGACAAAATATGGAAAAGTTCAAGGGGTATGAATACTTTTGCAAACCACTGTATCTAACCTGTACGTACCTGGCAGTATTTTCACTGACCTAGTACTTGTTTGGAACCTACAGGGACCAGGCTGCATTTAGTCTGAACTCAGTACTTAATAGTTACATAACTAGTATCTACAGGTATTAGTTAAAGAGACTTCTTACCCTTCAAGTACTGGTATTATAAATCACTTGTCGATATCAGATAAGTAACAGGTACGTATGTATTTATATATTGCTACCAAAGGCCTGAGCTGATGGACGTAAATTTTGGAGTAAATGTGTTTTTATTTGTAAAAAAGTAAATAAATTTTTTGATTCATAATCACACATCTTTGTCTTATTCCACTGCAAACTTTTTATACTCCTAAAGTGGACATATCATGCTTCCTTCCTTTTCACATTTATATCATTAAGTTGGGGTCTATATAAAGTGGAACTACAATGATTTGGTCTGAATTCCTCCTTATTCTAACTTTCCCAGCCCATCTTTCACCACTTTTCTGCTGTGTCTCAAAGCAGCTGGTTATGTTACTTGTTCCTTTAAGGTGCTTCAAGCCCCGCCCCCCTCTGGCTTCCAGACCGATCCACTCCGGTTTGAGAGAGTGGGCTTTACTTCTAGCTTGCAGAAACATTTTATTTACAATTTGATTAAAAAATGTCAGCAACAGAAGACTTGTTCATCCAGCCTTACATGTTGGAGCCAGAGTCTGACCCAGAACCAGAGAATTAAGACGAGGAAATTGTAGTTGGTAAGTCCAGAGCTAATTTGGTAATTCTGTCACAGATAATTTGACGTTATAGTTCAGAAAATATCATAGAAAATAGAGAAAACCAAACAGGCTGCATAATATGACCAAAATAAAATAGAGATATATTTGCAGCACCAGGAGACTGAATTACACAAGTACACAAGAAAAGGAATTTAACAGCTAAAAAAGTTTTCTTTTTCTTTTACTCTTTAAATTAGTAAAGCAAACTAAAAGTTGTAGAAACACAAGTACACAAACTAATGCAAAAACATATCAAACTCATTTATTCTCTTTATTATTGGTCCAGTATATTCAAAAAAAAAAAAAAAAAAAAGGAAATGTGGTCAAGATCAGTATACAAGCTTATTTATAATTACAACAAATTATTATTAACAATCAAATGTACAATCTGGAACGTAAACAGTACACACTGGGGAGGAACAGAGAGAGAAAATAAAGAGACAAACTCAAGATTCACACGTTCATGTTCATCTGACTTCCATAAAAGTTTAAGTTATTTATCCTGTGCTGAGAGTCAGACTTTATCCTCACGTGTGATTCTGCAGGAGGAAAAGACGGTTTGGCTTCGAAACGTTTGCTCTGTACATAAAAAAAAAAGAAAAAAGAAAACGATCCCCAGCTAAAAAGGCTGCAGACGTCCCTGCAGGGAGAGTCACCCTGATTCACTTTGCTGATGGCACTGCTTTTATTTCTTATGTTTCCAAAAAAAAAAGGAAAAAAATCAGCTTTGCCATTTATTTCAAGCAACTGAGAGAAATGTCATTAGATTTCCAATCTTGGAGCTACACGTTTAGTGCAAAAATACCCATCAGCAGGCATACAGTATAGAACATATTTTATGACGGCTATGGCTCACACTGAAACCTCAACAGTACCTCTGTTCAGTGTGCAATTTAATAAACGTTCCTTACATAAGGTTTATACTGTTAGTGCACACGTTCAGTCCCTTTTAAATATTCACCTGCAGATGAAAATAAACCAACACAAAGTTCTACATGTGTTTTTGTACGACAAAGACTCAGCAAGTCGAAGTGTGAATAGTGCCAAAACTTTTTACTTCATTTGCACCAAACTGAGGTCTACAGATGCACCAATGGTTTGATTTTTTCTAAGATTTATGAGTCAAATGGGGAAGAATATGTACAAAGTCAAACAGTGTGTCCCGTATCATTTAAAGTGTATGGTGAAAACATCTCGTTGTGCACCACATCAGTTTTGTACAAAAGAGGATTAGGACCACTGGAAAAAAAAATAATTCTGACTTTAATCTCAGAATTCTGATTTTTTTTCCTAATTCTGAAAAAAAAAAAAAGTCAGAATTCTTCTTTCTTTTTTCCAGRGGTCCTAATCCTCTTTCGTAGTTTTGAGACCTAAACAACTGAAAACTTCAAAAACATAATAGAACGGTCCTTTTATTACAGTAAGAGCACAAAATATCTACTCCTGACTGTTTTTCTCTTTATATTTTTGATATTTCTGGTATCTTCTCTATCTAATCCAGTTTTTGTTGTTTCGTTTTCACATCAATGCATCTGTAGAACCTCTATTTTAGCTGCCTCAATTCCTGATCAGAGGTACCTAAAAAGCTTTCCTTCATCTGAATTAAACATAGCCAAAAACTATTAGCAGTAAGATTAAGCAGAAGGTTTTAAAGCTTGTGAAGGACAAAAAAAAAAAGATGAGTACACACAAAAGACAGCTGAGAAAATCCTAAAAGCAGCCAAACAAGCAGCTTGTGGACATCCAATCTTTTCTTACATTTGACTGCACAGAAGTCGGACCCACCAGTGAGACACCGGTTTATAAAATAAGATTTGCTGTATTTAAAATATTCAACCTAAATACAAAAATGTGTCAAAACAGTACCTTTAATCTAAATGTTTTTTATAACTTACAAAAGAAATGTTGTTGATGCTCTGAAATAYATTTGTGGCAGAAATGAGCAAAGATTAAGTGTAAATGTGATGCTAGKGTCCCGACACAGACCTGAGCCTGAACTCAAACCATTGGTCAGGTCTTTGCTACATTGGGCCAAATGTAAAAGCCTAGGCAGTTCAACTGAAGTGGAAAAATAGAATAAAATTAATAAAATAAAATCCCACCAACCTAACTTTCCCTCTTGTGGCCATCACYAAAAGAATACATTTATACGAGTGGAGCAAATGTGTTTTAACCTTAATTAAAGTCAAATTATCAACAAACAGCAAAGAAAACTAACTGGTTTTATGTCCTGCAGCTCTGCTCCAATTTAAAATGTTTTCCATTTGAGTCACAGCTCTGCAGACGAGGACAAACACTGAGTGGGTTGAACCGTACTTTACTGAACAGGACTCCAGACTCCATTATGTTCATTATTAACTGTTAAATAACTAAGTGAAGCTGTTACAGTTAGGACCGACTTATCTTAAAAATAGTTTTTGATGCAAACTTATTTTCTTCTCAGTTTGTTTTRCTGTAATATGTAGAATATTAAAGTTGTGAATAATCACCAGTCCCACAGTAAGACAGATTTATTTTAAGGTTTCAAAGATGTAATAAAGCAGACTTTATTTTTCTTGGGGTTATTTCAGGTCATTTCCTACTTTAACGTTCCTGACTGAGGTATTTTTTTAGCTTGAAAACAAGAAGTGGAATTCCAACATACAATGAGTATAAATAGCTATTAACAGTATTTTAAAAGAAACCAACAAAGCTGTGGTAAATGGGGGGATGAAAAGAGTTTTGCCACAAGGTGGTGCTATTGCACTTTRAAAAACGTGCAACTAACTCACCTCCACATTTGCGCTTAGCCTTTAACATAAACTTCTCTCCTTGCCTCCTATTTTTAGTTTTTCTTGGAAAGATACATTTCTTGTAACTGTTTGGAAAACGCTGATCCAACTTTTTAGAGGTAAAAAGTAAAAAAAAAAAAGGCTGATTTTTGCAACGGTTATTCTTATTTGGCTCAGTGTGAAAACAGAGAGCAGACCCAAAGTGCTTCTCTCCAAGACTGTGGTTAAACAAACACAAGTAGCATTGGCAAGACTTGTTAAATGAAAATTCGAAGTAGAAAAAGTTCATAGAAAAAAAAGGACAAAAAAAATAACAAATAAAGATCTGTACATAAGCTTCTCTTCTTTCCCAGCTGTCTTTAAACACACCATGGGTTACCTCCTTCTGCACCGGCGACGACCTCTCTCTGTAAAGTCACCTCACAGGAGAAGACCAGGAAGTTCAGCAGTTAAAACCTGCTGCCTGGTTGTTGTTGTTGTTGTTGTTGTTTCCCCTCGGCATGAGAGTGTTGCACAGAGACAGATGGGCTGAAATGCAAGGAACGGGTTTCAGTTCGTCTCACTTGTTTTGTCCTCAGTCTGTTTGTCCTGGAGGAGAGTTATGAGAGACTCCCAAGCTGCCTGGCACTGCAGAGAGATGAGAGAAATAAAGAATGATTCTAGAAAAAAAAAAGGACAATTTATAACTTATTTTGCTGCTTCAAGTTGGCCAGAATTCCAAGGTAAATCTGGGAACTAAGTTGTATTTAAAAATTCTATTAAACTATATAAACAATGGCCTGCAAATGATAAAATGTCTGAGCTCAGCTAATTTGTTTGATCTGGTCCCAAAGCTCAGATTACTACATTTATTAGTCTTTATTATACAAGCCTGTGGTTACATTTGGCCTGCAGTCCTTGACACATTTGCTTTAGGGCATTTATTTAGTTGAAACAGTTGATGCCGTACTCTAAAAAGCTCAGATGTGGACTCTTTTTTTTATTTTTTTTTACAACAATCCATGTACCTTTTCATAATAGTTGATATTTTTGTCAGCCATGCCGGTGAGAAGCTGTTTGAAGTCTTGTCTCTTGTTCCTCTGCCAGCGCTCCCAGTCTGCTTTCAGGTCAGCGTTGAAACACTCCACCTTGTCCTGGCATCGCTCTACTTCTACTGGAATCTACAGCAACACAGAGAACACTACAGCTACAGGGGGGCTGGCTACATTTTGTCAGATCGAAATCTGAATTAAAGGGGTCTGTGTGAAAGAGGTGTTTTGGAAAAGAGCGGTGCATTAGATACTTACAGGGCATATTTTATAGTGTATATACAATATGTAGAACTTTATTTTACTTTGTCAAATATTTACTCTGGTATTTTGATTAAATGATTTCTTAGAATGAAAAAAATGAAATAAGATCTTAAACTTTCGACACAGAAGTGACAACAAATCCAGTTTTGCTTACGGGTGTTCTATCTTCTTGTTTGTGCAAAATGGCTGCTTCAAGACGGCCCTCGTACTCTGCTTGACTCTGGTCTCGCTTCCTCAAAACGTTCTGTAAACAGACAGAACATTCATGATGAAGTASGGAGTAGTTTCACAGAATCAAGTAAAAAATGGTTGAACAAAAACAGCTATGCTGAATCATGAGTTCGGTGAGGATGTGACTCTAAACTGCACTTCCTCTAAAATGATGTTGAATATGTGCAAAAAGACACAAACTGGGATCTGCAAATTCTGTTTATCACGTTGTTTTAATACTGCAGTAGTAGGGACGGATTTCATCGTGCTCCTGCAACAGAATCTAAACCAGGGGTGCAAAAACTTTTGCCCCCAGAAGGATCAAAATATAAATCTCTCTGAGGGCTGTGGGCCAAATGCAATAATTTAATACATGAAATGCAAATACTTTGTACTTTGTAAGTCTTTTAATGTTTTCTGATTAGGCTAGCAGCCAGTGCAGTGGCTTTTTAGTTTTGTTTTTTTTTTTAGCCCATGCACATGGAGAAAGACTCATGGGACATTCATAAATTGATAAAATATGAGAATGTGTGTTCTTATAAAGTGTGTAAATCTACATCTAATCTAAATGTCTCTTGTAGTTACTCATTTTTCCATGTTTAATCCTAATATAATTCAAAGATAAAGTCAGCACCATGAGTAAAGTCACTGGGTCATTGGAATGACTATAAGTGGAAATACAGTGTTTCTACAGCAGATGACCYATTATAACATGGGAACAAGTGCAACAGCTGGTGGGCCAAATAAAATAGTTCAGTGGGCCAATTTTTTTTGGCACAGTATGAGGGCTAAAATTAAAACTATTGTGCAACCAGCAATTGCTACAGGCTATATCTTCTCCTAAGCCAGCTATTGATCTGTTTAATGATAGGCCTGCACTGGTAACTGAGAGGGCAGCGCTGGCAAATGAGAAGGAGACTATTCATTTGTGTTAGCATTGGAGAGGCTAGCAACTAGCATGCCTAGGCTACTGTTTTTGTTTTCTTTTTAGCCTAATTATGAGAAATATCTGTATATGATATTATAAATATTAATTCAACATAGAGAAGCTTAATTTAATACCCTGTCAAAAACTGTAAAAAGCCCAAACTTGATAGTTCTGGCTTTTTTCATATTTTGGCTACATAGAAAAAAAAAACTGTCGTCGACTAATAGACGAGAGCAAATGCAGCTGCTAATTCAGGTTGTAACAAAAGCTGTCTGCTTCACAGTAATGTTTTTATGCTTAATATTTATGCATGATTGCATGTTGAAGAGTAAACGGTCTATTTTTTGCTGAGAAACGTTTCTTTATTCAAAAACGTTTGTGTCTAATAGGTGAGCGGCTTATCCATGCTAGTCGCTAGCCTCTCCATTGCTAACACCAGCTCATCCATGCTAATCGCTAGCCTCTCCAATGCGAATACCAGCTTATCCATGCTAGTCGCTAGCCTCTCCAATGCTAACACAGCTTATCCATGCTAGTTGCTAGCCTCTCCAATGCTAACACCAGCTTATCCATGCTAGTCACTAGCCTCTCCAAAGCGAACACCAGCTTATCCATGCTAATCACTAGCCTCTCCAAAGCGAACACCAGCTTATCCATGCTAATTGCTAGCCTCTCCAATGCTAACACCAGCTTATCCATGCTAATCGCTAGCCTCTCCAATGCGAACACCAGCTTATCCATGCTAGTCGCTAGCCTCTCTGATGCTAATGCAAATGAATAGTCTCCTTCTCATTTGCCAGTGCTGGCCTCTCAGTTACTGGGGAAGGCCTGTCATTAATTAGATCAATAGCTGGCTTAGGAATAGATGTAGCCTCCTGCTACAAGGATTTAGCAACCACTGGTTGCTTAATAGTTTTAATTTTGGTCCATGTGCCCCATTTTAGGCACCTCTGCTCTAAACAATACTGCACACACAGCTGATAAATCCTTATTTTCCTTCGAATTTCATATGCCTGTTTCAGTTTGAATGGCCTCTTACCTTCATGGACTCGATGTAAAGAACATATTCTCTAAGAACAGGCAGGAAGTCCTGGCTCATGTTGTCACTTGTGTCCTCCAGCGCTCCGCTGCACGTTGTGACACAGCCAGCCACGCCCTCCAGAGGGCGCTGCAGCTGCTCCTCTGACCCTGCCCAGCTGGAATAGAGGGCTCCYTACTCCCGGAGCTCTGTTAGGTACTCTGATGATGGTGGAAATGGGGGGGGGGGAAAGCAAACCAAAGCAAAACTTTCAGCTCAGACGACATGAGATRGGCGCTTTGATGATGAAATGATAGTTCAGCATCTGGAACACACGTGTCAGCTCATTTGAGACTCAGGGTCACCAGAGTTCCAATCTTATCATCCTCTAACATTAGAACAAGACCGCCTCTGACTTGTCAATAGCGCCGACAGATGGTCACGAGGAGAGCATTTCACACGACAGGTATTTACAGAAGCACTTGTCATGCATGTGTGGAGTTATCAGCTCCGGCTGGAGGTCTGAGGGTTGTTTTCGACATGAACAGCCACTAAAGCAAATACTGCACATGAACTCAGGCAAGCAACTTTAATAAAACACTAAAAGATTCAATTTGACAAAACAAAAGCCGAATCAAAAATAAGTCGATACATCATTAAAAACGACAGTTTTCGCCTCAGTACCTGACTGCTCTTTGAGGATCCTCTGAGCGATGCGATCGAGAGTTCCCAGTTTTTGGCTGAAAGTGTCCAGGTACTCGCCCATGGCGCTGAACTCAGCTGGGCGCGGCCGCAGCTTGTAACCACCGGCTACGTGCTTCACTGATTCGCCCACTTTGGTCAGCAGGGCCAGACCCTGACGCTTGTTCAGGTCCTGCAGAGGAAACAAAAGCCCAAACAGTATTACTGTGCAAACACATGGTAAAGTGCCTGTGAGATGTCAAATTTTTGTAATACATATGAATGCATTTTTAGAAAGAGGACATTCATAAAATATTGCAAAAGAAATTTTGTGTCGCTGAGATGAACAGTCGTTGAGATATTTGCCTGTGAATAACAGGAAGTGATGTCAAAGGGGAATGTCTTCATGTGAACAGAGCGTTGCTACAATAACACAGACTAGAGAAAAATCTGATGTTTCTTTGGACTATTTTGAGTCACTATCAGAGATGAAGTGTCAGAGTTCAAATAAWATCATTTCAATAAACAAAGACCAGAAACTTTTCTTTGTTAAATAGTTCCCCTTCGATGTCACTTCCTGTTTCACTTTCAAAAGYAAATAGGCCAGTTATGGGACAAAATGGGTAAATCATGTGTATTATTCCAACTTTCTTAAATATAAAGATGTTTTCTTGACTTTTTGTATTTGAAGATGCATGTCAAGGACACTTTAAACTGTCCAATCAGGACATTTCTAAATCATCTCGTTTGTTTAATATGTACCTCAATGATCTATTAAATATAAAAGGTCTTACCCTTGTAGTTTTACAGACACAACCTAATTTCCCTGAAAGGACTCAAAGTCCTGTTTGCTTTTTAAAATGCTTTTTCCTGCTCTACATTCATGTAACAGCGAGACTACTTTTCTTTCGGTGATTTATTAGACTCCAGGTTTGGCAGCTGTCCCACCTTGGCAGTCAGGAAAGCGTTGAGATGTGGGTTAAAGGATAGGACAGGGTGGTCCGCCACCCGCTTCAGGAACTTGTCCAAAGCTTTCATCCTCGTCTCCACGAAGTCCTCCGAAAAACGATCCACCACGCCCTTCATCACGAACTTCTCAGGCAGCGGCTGGACAAGAGGGAGGACAGGAGGGTGGAACCGAGGAGCGTCTTGTTAGAAAAGCATGGGGGGGCGGGGGCGGTGCTTGTGGGACTTACGGGGATGAGGTGGGTCGGCTGGGTGTCTTCTAACTTCYTCCTCAACCAGTCAAAGTCCTGGTAGCGCCGACGAACACAGTAATCTGGAAGGTCAAACTCTATCCGTGTCGTCTGAAACAATAAAACACTTTGATTTGATTTTCAGTTGCACATTTGTCTTTTCTCAGATTTAACATTTTGATTTTTCTTTGTTAAAGGGATCCCCGATTAGTTGTAACATTAGACTTTTTGAAAAAAAAAATATATATATATATATAACTGCAAAATAATGACTGTAAAAATACTGTTGGCTGTTTAGTTTTGTAAATTTTTAAAAATATATTTTAACACGGATGGAGCCATTTTATTTACACACAAAGCATTCTGGGTAAATGATAACATGGATAGGTCAACAGTGCGAGGCTGCTAACGAGCTATATCCACCAGAGCTTTGGCAGAGAGGAGAAGGTAGAAATGACTCAGCCTGTACCTGAAAATATAGATTGAGGACAGCAGAGCTGCTTCATGGAAGAAGAACCTCAGCTTAGTCTGTTAGCTTTTGCACTAGCGCTGACGCTATATTGCCTTATACGTATTAGCTCGGCGCTAGCGCGACAAACTAACAATCTAAACTGAGGTCCTCCATCTATATTTTCAGTTACATGCTAAGTCATTTCTACCTTCTCCTCGCTGTCAACGCTCTCTGGTTTCATTTAAGAGCCAATTGTCAGATGTTGCCCAAGATTAACCTTCAGGGTGGATATAGCTCGCTAGCAGCCTCGCACCGAGGACCTATGCATGTCATCATTTACCCAGAATGCTTTGAGTGTAAATAAATTGGCCCCATCCCTGTAATATATTTTTAACTTTTAGTTTAAAAAATATAAAAACTAAACATCCTACAGTATTTTTACAGTCTGTTTTACAGTTAAAATATACGTTTATCAAATAAAGTCTAATGTTTCAACTAACCATGGATCCCTTTAAATTGATTAAAACAGTTTAAAGTGAAAAGTGCACACAAACAAAAAAAAATTGCCTCAAAAGACCCGCCACAGATACGAACACACTCTAACTCTCTGGTGTTAAAAGCCCACCTTCACATGGTTTCCATTAACACTCGAGGCTCATATTTGGCCGTGGCATTAGTGAGCGTCCTCTGAACCTCAGCAACGCAGAGCGCTTGGCAGCTGTCACCATGACACTAGTGAAAGGCTACAAGCTCCGTCTCCCTCTAATCTGGGTTTCATTAAGCGACAGAAAGGCCTCAAAAGCTCTGATTCTTTGCTGCACGAACAAACTGAGCTCTGTGGTCACTGTGCTCTGTCAACCAGCAGCTACAGCTGATTGAAGAAGATAAGAGCACCCCCAAGAGATGAATTACTGATCTTCTTCCTTAAAGGGAACACAGACTAGTTTTAACATGAGACATTATTTGATTTAAAAAACATTGTTTAGTTTTTATCAATTTTATAAAATATATTGTCACACGGTCGGACAGCAACATTTTATTTATGCCGCAAAACGAACCAATGATTACATTTATTAAAGGGGCTACATCATGTAAAATTAACTTTGAGTTTTATATCATGCTATGATGTTATGTTAAACATAAAAACAGCATTTTAATAACATCTAAAAGGTGACAGTTATTTTATTATGGTATAGAATTTCAGTATATGCCTGAGAAACACATTATATTGCCCCTTTAAGTGTTCCGGTGCACGGCTGTGAACTCTATCCACCCTAAAGGTTAATCTTGGACAAAAACTGTCGATCAGTCCTTCTCAAATGAAACCGGAGCGTTGACAGAGAGGAGGATGTAGAAATAACTCAGTCTGTAACTGAAAATGTGACTAGAGAACAACAGAGCTGCTTAATGGAAGTGGAACATCAGCTGTTAGCTTTCACGTTAGCACCTGAGCTAATACATATAAATAAATACATGGTGTTAGTGCCTGAGCTGAGCACAGTGGAGACCCACTAAAAACTGTTGTGAATTAGTTATAAACTCTACAACAGCTCATTGCTAACCTTGGTGGAGACTCTGTAGGTGATGTAGGTCTCCATGGTGGAGACGTGCTTCTTTGGGTCGTCGACGGTGACAAARAGGTCGCGGGTTTCCGCGGGGTCTTGAGGGTCTGCTTCCAGCTCGTCGTCCAGCTGCAGCCTGTTGAGCAGCTGCGACACGGGGGCGGGGTTCGACATCTCAACCGGCGTGCCATTGGTCAGCCCCGGTTCCTGCTGGAAGACACGAAACCAGCACAGTGACATCACGTCCACATGTTGTCACGAGCTGCACACAAAGGAGCTGCAGATCGGATCGATGCTGATGAAGTTGCTTTTTGTTGTCAGTGGAGCTATTGGGAAGACTGTGCCAACTGTTTGTCTGAGATGTGGAAAAATGAAGTAGCTCAGGAAATATTTTGAATCAAAAACCAATTAAAAGGTTCAAACAATCCAACCAAAAATTGTTTGAAGAAATTTTGAAGGGTGCAAATAATGAAGCTAATATAACATTGTTTTGATGCAACACCTACATTCTGATATATAAACTATATAGGAAGTATACAAAAAAACCAGATCAAAATAAGTGCTAAAGCTATTGTAATCACACAATTGTGCCTGTCACTCCGACTGCCAAAATAATAGGAGGTAGAGAGAAATGGACTAAAAAATAGGTGTGCTTTAATGCAACGGAAACCATAATTAATTTAAAATTTAGGCATGTAAAACTCCTCTTTGCTCTTCTATTTTTTTAAATATATCTACAAATAAATCACGTTTAACAAGAATCCATTAGAAACCAAACAACTCTCTCTGTATTGGTGTTCAGCCGCTTCTCTTTTTTTAACAAAAGCTGATAATAAAGCGTTATTGTCGTATTTTAAGAAGAGCTGAACCTTTGTCTCTATTGGTTCCTGTGGTGGTTCCAAAGGTTTCTTCAAACCCACGTTTTGCTGCGCACACAGAAAACACACAAACACAGCCTGCTGACAGAGTAGCTCTTTTTTTTTTAACACTGTGGTGCTAACCTCCTCTGGTAATCACTGTTCGGGTAATTACATCACACTGCATCATTACATGACTGTGAATGAACAACCAGGTCAGAAATCCAACTCTGTGTTGTTATACACACTGTCAGGACAATACAGGGGAAAAATAACAAACATTATATTCCATTTGAACCTTTTCACAGAAGGTAAATTTTGTGCAGAATCAATCAAATCAAACTTGATTAATTAAGCAGTTTTCATAAAGCAAAATGTAACACAAAGTGCATTACAATACATATAATAAATAATGACTGAAAACTGAATTCAGGCACTTATTGCAGCAGCTAAKATCTTATTTTAGTGCTACCCTATGGTCACCAATTATTTATGCTAAATAAATTAGCTGAAAACCATAAATTAGGAAACATTTATCCAGTTTAATCCACAAAATTGCAGCCCCACCCCCTTTTTTGTGGGGGAAAATATCTGTTGTCTGAACAAAAGCTATTAAAAAAATGTTCACATATTATTTCACTAGAATCAGCACCATGACTTCATGTCCAGTTTTATGGGATGAAGTGAAAAGAAAGTACAGGAACAGCACAAAGCATGTGACCTTAATGGATCTCTAATTTGGCAATAATTAACTGCAGGACCAAAACTAAGTGCTACAGCTGTTACACCAGGAAGAATAACAGCGTTGTCCATCTGCTTGTCTGGTCCATCTTGCTTTAAACAACTCGTTGAAATACCTAATAAATTGGTGTGCATTTTAGTAGTATTATTTTAACGCAGTTTTTCCTGTTTTTGAATTAGCTATTGCTTTATTGTAATTAAAGTCTAGTCATTTACACTTGTACCTGTTTGCTTGGTTTATAAGTTGTTGGTTTTTATTTTTTTATTTTTTAATTTTGCCATTTTAAAATTTCTGGGGCTAAGCAAGAAGCTAGCATGTTATCCTAACGTAAACAGTGAGTTAATAAGTTGGGGATGCTCCTGTCTGAAACCAGGTCGAAGTTTAAGTTCTTTACTTTTCTTTCCGAATTTGCTTTCAGACCAACAATAAGGTCTCGCAGCACCTGRGTGTGAACTCACAGCACCTCCTTTACCTTCTCTTCCCCGACGCTGCAGCTGCTGCTGACGTCCGGCCCCGGGGACAGCTGCTCCTCCTCGGCGGCGGACAACGGGTGAAGGATCTCCGTGATGAGCTTCTGCCCCGAGCTGGCCAGGCCTCTCGGAGCGCTGACACTCATCCTTGCGGAAGGCGGGAGGACTTGGCCGCTTATCCGGGTTGGTGGCTGTCCGGTTTTTGTTACAGTAACGAAGAGTTTCCAGGGACGGGGGGGGCTGGATATTTATTCTTCCTTTGTGGGTCTATTCTGCTGAGACCGTGCAGCCGCTAGTTGTTCACAACTGTCAGCTGACTCATTTGCGCAGCTCCGGAAGTTAATCAACAAGACCCCGGATGTAAACATGGATGACATTTTAAAGATTGTCTATTAAAAAAAGATGAATAACGTGGTCACAAAAAGGATTACACGTCTTGTTTGTTTGAAAGCGCAGTACTTAGTTAGATCAAAACTAAAACTCAAACTTTTTAATCACAATATGTTCAAAATAAAAGACCCTTTACTTAGCTAATATCATGATAAATATTCAAAGGAAAAATGTTAGTAAATTTATTTAACAAAACACAACTTGAGAAAGGAATATATGATTACATAATGTGTAGCAAAAATACATGTTTCTGTGTTCTTTTTTTCAAAGCTAGTTTTTGCTAATGAGGTAATTTACCTTGTAAAAACACCAGGAAGAGTACGTACATTCCTG